ACAGTAAAATAAAATAGTTATTACAATTCCCAGAGTAATAAAACAATAACTTGGGTTTTATTAAGTATGGGGAACTCAGGATAGGAAAGAATGGAAAAGCAGATTAAGAGAATAAAAGACAAAAACTGTACATAAACAGGGGTGTTCTAACAAAGTCTCCACACCAATGTTGGGAAGATCATCTCTGCAGCTCTTTGGTCTGGATTCAAATGTGCAATTAGGCTGGCTCTTGGGTCGCCTGACTGTGGCTCTCTCTTCAGCCTCCTAGGTTTCCGGTCTTTGCAGAGATGACACTGTCCAATGTCCCAGAAATCCCCAAAGGGCTCAAAATTTTCACTTGGGTAGGAATGTCCTCCCTGGCTGTGATGCTTCTGTCTCTGCTACACTCCAAACACAATGAAAACTGAAAGTAAAACCACACCCTTTGTCTCTTGAGTTCTGGTTTATGATTGCCTCTGGTAGTGTTGCAAGCTAGTTCTGTCTCTGCCTTTGGCAGTAGGTAGTCTGTGAAATTAAGTCCTGAACCTCTCTAGTTGTTGTTGCTGTAGTCATGGGGGAGTCCCCTAGAAATTCAGTGTGGTCTTTCAGGAGCACCATCTCTAAAGGGGTTATATGTACTAATACTTCCAGTTCTTCCTGTTTATTCCCCATTATCCTTGTTTTAGTGTATAGACATTTCCAGCGTTGAGCGGATTCACCCACTCATTTCCCTCTTGTTGCTTTTATGACCCTATTGTAATTAGTATGTAAAGCACTTCCTGATTAAATTCCACTTCCATAGAAAACACAGCTGCCAAAAGATTTTTTCTTGCCTACCACTTGGATCAAGTCATTTCTCTTTTCAGATCCCTTTACTGACTACTCCTCATTTTTCTTATTAATTTCACTCCTGAACCTCATCTTCATGGCCATGCATAACTTCACCCTACACTTGTATCTTTAGTCTTGTTTCCAGCTACTTCCCCTCAAAGCCCCTTTGCAGTTCCCCAGCCTGACATTCGCTTAGGGCCCAATACTGTTAATCTTTCTCAATTTGAGTGGCATTTTATTCTGCAAGTAGTGCTGTTGAGTTCAGTGGACCTGCTCTCAAAGTAAAGTACTTCTCAACACCAAGAAGAGCGGCTGAATTGCTTGCTTAGGTTTGAAGAGGGTGGAAGAAGAAAACTTTCTTCATGACAACCAATGTGCTTGGAACAACCTCCATGTACCAATTGATTACTCTCTCTCTCTTCATTCAAATCTTACCTAAGAACTTTACTCCTTTCAGGAGACCTATCAATTCTAATCTTACATTGTTTCCTCACATTTTATTTTAAAAAATAAGGTAACCAGTGAGATATTAAACTTGCAAACAACTTCTGCCTCTCACGCAATGCAGGTAAATCTATGTCAAGGTATGTTTTTCCACCTTCTCTTGTGTCCACTGTTTTATCTTCATGTTATTGTGTTATTTTTGGCATAGTTTTAAATTGTAAGGTCAGTATCCATGTCTCTTTATTTTTGTGTGTCATGCACACCTAAGACATTATATCTGTAATAAATAATATAGGCTGTAAGATGTTACCTCAGTATATATTGTAATAATAGATATGACTTGATGTAAGTAGGTTCAGTTCTGTTGATGTCAGTGGGGTTGGACCCACTTACACCTGGACTGAATTTGGTTCATTTTGTTTAAAACTTTAAGAGGAGACCTTGGTAGTTGACAGAGGACAGACATAAGCCCATGATCATCAAAAGATTAGATATCTGACAAATAACCTAATGGCTAAGAGATTCTTTTAGTTGAAAATAAATAATATATCTTGGTCCTTCTCTGGATGCAGTGGGTCCAAAATAACAGTGGAACCAAGACAAGTCTATTCCACAGGGGAGGGACAGAATATTGAGAGCCCACACAGAGCATGAGTATATCCTGTGCACCAAAGGCCCTGGCTCTGTAGGGGTCCTCCTTGAGTTGGAAGAGTCATCACTGCTTGTTTCCACAGCAGTGGGGACATAAGCATCCCATAGTCTACTCCATCCTGAGTTCTGGAAGGAAGGTTTCCTCACCACACCCTATGCTCATGGAGAATCCCAGTGCTTAGCCCAGTTTCTCATTTTTTATCCTGTTATTTTCATCCTTTTTTTTGTATTTTTCTTTTTCCTGTATGTGAGCCATTGTCAATATTGCTGTATTTGGCATTTCTAGGGGAGTGATGTCAGTACAATTGTTAATCATGTTACAAAGTTTGTTTTGCAATATTCCTTTCAACTTTTAATTACTAATAATTTGGAATCAAATAATTGTGCTATAAATAATATGGTTGTCATTCCTGTAAGTAAGGTTTGACTGAAAACATTTTTAAAGTACTACTTAATAGAGTAATGAGTAAAGAATAAAATAAGCTCACACAGAATATTAAGTACTATGCCTTTACAAATCAAGACAAAATAAATTGATGTTCAGTCAAGCTGTGAATGAAGTTTTTAAAGTGCCATTCTCTCAAGGCGGTGTGAAAAATCTGTTCTCAGTGACTAGACTCAAGATCTCATTTTTCACATTGTGCTTCCAAATATTTTAACTATTAACCTAAAATCAATCATGCCATGCCAAAATATTTGTTGTCATAAGTAAAATTTCTTTTAGAAATTGAATAAACTTTTTGTTTTATAAAATATTTACATCCTAGGTTTTAACTCTGAGGTTTGTTTTTAATCCATAAAAAATATAAATTCCACTATTATTAATGACCTGGCTTAGAATATGATTTCATTCTGCAGGTCCAATTAATAGGGAAATATTTGTTCTGATCACTTATTTTGCTTTTACTAATTCAGGCCTTGTAGTGGAGTGGGGATAGACATAGGTCAAATATCCCTGCAGCCTACATTGCATATTTGGCAGCTGTCCCCAGCTCAAGCACAGCATTAAGGACACTTGTCAGGAAGCAGGGTAGTGCACAGCTGGCAATGTATGATGCACCGCTAATTGCAGCTCTAACACAGTGGTTCTTTCCATGGCTGGTTGCAGGGCTGGCTCTAACTTTTTTGCCTCGCCAAGCAGCAAAAAAAAGCGCTGCCCCACCGTAATACCCCCCCAGCGCTGCCCCGCCGAACCCCCCCCACCGAGTGCCGCACCGCCGAAACCCCCCCCGCCGAGCGCCGTGCCACCGAACAGCCCCCGCCGAGTGCTGCGCTGCTGAACCCCCCGCGCGGCGCGCTGCCAAACAGCCCCC